TTGTATTGTGCCATGAATCGAACTCGTGATACAAACACTAAAATAGCTAAAACACCCAAACATAAGACTTTGTACAAAGTCAGATTCAACACATCCATAGTCCCAGGTATACGACTAGTAACTATGGATGTGTTGAATCAGTTTTTTATCTGTATTTACGTCCTAACATAGTTAAGTTATTTACTTTATTCTATTATGTTCATAGTCGATATGGACGTACTGATGATAAATGGATAGCAAGTTATTTTTGTTTCTTTATTCGATATAGCCAGAGACTTGGCAGTGACACTTTCAAAATTAGTTTTGTGCCATGAAAAATGAGTGTCACCTAGTTGGCATTCGTATTCTTTGGATAAATATGTATTTTTTAATTTGTGGTTGTACTCGATGACAGGGAACCGTTAGAACAGCTTAACGTGGTGTAATTATTCATTACATTTATGTCACGCATGTATGCTGTTACTTCATAGTGGAATTTTTATTATTCGTTGTTAAAAAAAGCTGTACTTATATGTATATAATGGGATACGTTATTATCAGAGCAGTTGAAAACCTGCAGATACAACTGAATACGATATTTGCTATTATTCTGTGAAAAACGTAGTGATTATTTGTTCAGTGAAAATATTTGTAATTTTAAAGATCGATTGACCGATCTAGCATCCCATAACTAAAACACCTTTGGTTGTGTACTTGAAATTTTAAACATAGATCGTTTTAGCGAATTTACATATTAACTATGATAAAATAGACATGTATATGTATAGATAATATATATATTGGTTTTGATTTTAATACTTAATTCGGTGTTATAAAAATATTTTTCTCAAAGGGGTAAAATAGGATATGACAATATTTTGATTTCCATTGATTCTTACGTCACTATCTAAAGTGCAGAACAAATATTTAATAGACATGTACTTAATTGCACTTTGGCATCTTATATATTTGACATTGTATAGGTAGTTTATTCTAAAATAACCCAAATCGTGATGAAAAAAAACGTAAAGAAATACGCAAATTAGGCTTAACTTGTATCTTCGTAAAGTATGCCTTCTTAAAAATTACATTTACTTGCTGTATGCATAAGTATGCGAAGGTCCCAGTTGTCTACGTCTCGGGTCATGAAATATTAAATGATCCATTTGGAAGAGTGGTTGTTTATCTGCTACCCATTTCTAGGTTCTGGGGTTCATAGCTAAAGTGTGACATAAATTACCGTGCATAGTCATACATATTTTGTCACAAAGGTAGAAATGTACGAGTGATGTGAAATAACACCTAAAGAATATACATTTTATTGGTTAACAAAATGATGAATGTAAAGGAAACAACAGAAATATGGAGCAACAGTTGAGGTGTTTGGTATTCCACTGTCTCTGGCTACCCTCGTGATATAGATAAATCTATTATTCTCTGATTCGTATTTCTCGAATGATGTATTCGAAAAGTACAGAATTAGATGAAAAACAGGACAATAAAATGAGTGGCTTATCATATTTTCGTAGTTTATTCGTAAAGTTCAGAATTAGATGATAGCAGATCAATAAAATAAGTGGCATGTTGGGTACTTAGTATTTAATTAATTTATACTTTGTAATAAACTTCAGAGTTTCTTTATAAATTCATCTTAATTAGTTATATTGCCTTGCCAGTACATATAACTTAGTTTTATTGTCATAAAGTAACACAGTATGCTTTATCATCCCTTAAGAATTTAGTAATAATAATAGTAATCATCTTTATTTGTTTCAAATAAAAACTAATACAATTGCTGCCGATACAAAAATAAAATTTAAAAGTAATGAAGGAGACAAAACGGTCTATAACTCAGAGGGGGCAGTGAGTCCACCCTCTATGCTATTCTGTTATAGCCTTTATTAGTAAATTAATACAATAAGAGATCGACGATGATGATAGCACGTTAAGTTCTAAACTACTACTAACAAAGTAAACATAAGAATTGACAATAACAAACATAAATATACATATATATATGATAAAATAATCCTGAATAATATTTAGACATATATATCTAAACATTATTCAGGATTATTTTATCATATAGGTATACCATCAGACGCGAACTCGTTTGTTCACACACATATTCATTGACACAACTTAGTAGGTTACAATATTACGAAACGAGGGATTGTTTTTGCAGCAACCATTTGCAAGAAAAACAAAAATAATTGCTGAGAATTAACTGCAGTTACAAACCTTTGTAAGTAATTCATAATAATCCCTTGTGAATTACTTAGGAAATAAATTTTCAGCACCGGAAGTTTGGCCATGTTGCGTGAACTGAGAACGGAAGAGGCAAGACCGAGACCGCCCTTCCTTGCTCGGTTAGTTAATAATTCGTAATTTTTGATTATGCAGGGGTATACAAAACATGAATAAATGTTTATTTTATATTTTTAGACTGCATAAAATAAGAACAATTTCTAAATAAAACAAAGTCGTCACTTGACAAAAATCGTAAGTATGTCTGTTTATCTGTTTAAGCTGTCAGGTAAAAATCGGCTGGCGGAATTGATATGACCATGGTAGCAAGTATTGATGATGTAATGCTACGTCTGACGGGTCACTTGTGCAAATGGGTGTACCTCAAGGATCTATTCTCGGTCCATTTTTATTCCTAGTTTACATTAATGATCTCCCATATGCCATGCAGGATAGATGCGGCATAGTGTTATTTGCAGACGATACTTCATTGATTTTTAAAGTTAATAGAATGACTAATAATTATGACGATGTAAATAGTGCTTTACGGCGTCTCCTGCACTGGTTTACAACTAACAATCTTATGTTAAACGCTAAAAAAACAAAATGTGTTAATTTCTCTCTGTCTAAAAGTTTTAATACTAATTGCAATATTAAATTAAATGACGAATCTCTCGAATATATAGAATCTACTGTCTTTCTAGGAATCACACTAGATAATAAAACACAATGGGGTGCACAAATTCAAAGCCTTGCAGCAAAACTAAGTTCAGCAGCTTTTGCCGTGCGTAAGGTTAGACAGTACACTGATACTGATACTGCTAGATTAGTCTATTTTAGTTATTTTCATAGTTTACTCTCTTATGGAATATTACTATGGGGAAAAGCGGCAGATATTAAAAATATATTCATATTACAAAAACGTGCCGTTCGAGCGATCTACTGTATGAAGAGTCGTGACTCATTAAGAGAGAAATTCAAAGAGGCAAATATTCTCACCGTTGCTTCTCAATTTATATATTCAAATATCCTATATGTTCATAAAAATCTTGACTTATTTCCAAAAAATAGCAATATTCATAATATTAATACAAGATTTAAAGACAAACTTGCTGTCCCCAAGTATCGTTTAGAAAAAGTTAATAGGTCTTTTATGGGAATAGGTATAAAAATTTACAATAAGATACCAAAGGATATGTTGGAATTACCCTTAAATAAATTCAAAACATCTGTTAAATCATATTTACTGAGCAAAGCCTATTACTCACTAAACGATTACTTGATTGACGAGTGTGCATGGCAATAGTTGTTCATGCACTGAATTTTCATTTAATGTTAGACATAGACACCTATATAAATATACATTGTAAATAAACTGGCTTTAAAAAAAAAAGTAATTCAATTGAGTTTCTTGCCAGTTCTTCTCAATTGGATCTATATACCGAACTGGACGGTAGGGAAAAAAATAAAATTATAATGTAAAAATTTGACGTTCATAAGCGGCTAAAATGTCCTACATGAATAAATGATTTTTGAATTTGAATTTGAATTTGAATGTATACGGATTGTATTACTGAGTTTCGGTGGCTGGATTTCATTTTTCACATAACTATTCTACATCTCTTATTATTATTAATATTATAAACGCGAAAGTTTGTGAGTATGGATGGATGTTTGTTACTCTTACACGCTCCAATCTACTGAACGGATTTTGATGAAACTTTACAGTAATATAGCTTATACATCAGAATAACATATAGGCTATAAATTTCACGCAGGTGTAACTGCAGGTACAGCTAGTATCTCCATAATTTGGCCGTTTCTCTACCGTCGGATTATGCGAACAAAACAATTTAATTATGAATGAACAAGTTAAAAATACAAGTATTACCTTGTATTTTTCTCTCGTGTTCCTAAAAATAAAAGACATTAGGACTTATTTTTAAAAATACATTAACGTACACATGGCGATTCCAATATAATTAAAATGTTTTTTTTTAATACAAATGTAGCTTATTCAAAAAGAGATATACAAAAAAAGATGGATTGATTGTGTGAAGTAGGATTCGATAAGAAAAATTGTGCTCCCTATACGAGAACGACGGCTGAGTGAGAGTGGATGTACTGAGCCGTTCCTAAATAATGGAATAAGGGTATTTCTTTCATGAATGTACACATATACAAAAGGTACATTCGATTTTTTATACAGTGTGAGTATAAAATATACAAGAATTTTATTAATAACATAAATAGACATGCTATTGATTACATATAATATAACACAAGGTGACTTCTACGAGCATTGACTGTGTATAATTTAACAGCCCATTCCTCGTCTGTTTAATATTAGGCATTGTTTACATTAATTCGTGAAAATTTGAATTGAAACGAAACATAGTGTTTAAACTTTTTACGAGTGTTTATAATTAGCATTACATATTATAAATGAGATATTGTAAGCTCAACACCTAATAGACTTGGGCCTGAATCGACAAGAAATTCATGAAACAAGTATGTTATTTCCCTAGAACGTGAAAGAAGCCATTGATATTTATACGTTTGTAATCTGCGTCAAAATATCAAGAGTTTTTAAATAACCCTATCATGGCAAACATCTAGTTTATATAAAGTGTAGGAGTAAAGTATGTATGGACAGAGGAAGTAGACCAAACGTTCTCAATGCTGACACAAAAAAATTATACAATGATTTCTATATTATCCACTCGTTATGGTTCTCTCGTTTCATTGTCTAAAATATTGTCTGTCTGTTGCAGAGTTCATCTGGCCTCACAGGACTAACGTCTTGTCACAATGGAGCTCGTTAGTTTCTGTCAGCACAGACGCGCCCAACTGAAAGGTACGTCCTACAAACATTATACAACATACATATTATGGGAACTGAGGTATTACTGCGTAAATTCTGTATGTATTTTACATATATGATATATAATGTATACTTTAGATTTGTTTACAAGGATAAAAACGTTAAAGTTGTAATATAACGGAGTCAAAAGATTTTACTTTAAGTACAGTTTAGCATCGGACTGATAGTGTCCTCTTAACAGAATTTTCTTTCACATCTATTATCCTGTCACGTGCAACTTACGAGTGCCTTACACGTATTCGAATAATGATCATGTAGTAGAGTGTGTAGAGTCGATGAACTACTTATTATATTTGCTTCGATTGTGTATGTGTGATCGTTTAGCAATTTTGGATGCCAAGCGTCGGCGCTTTATCAGACCGAAGAAAACTTCTGACGCGTGCCTCTATACGTACTTAAAGAATCAATAGTTTACAAACTCTTGACGTATCTATTTGAAATTTAAATATTTTTAACTGACTAACAAGAAATATAAATAATCTATATTGAAATAAACTCAATACAAGCACTTTTGAATACTAATATTTTTTTATCTACCACTCATTCGGGATGGAGACTCATCACAAGAAGAATGAGCAGGAAACTTGTATGTTGCTCTTTTGAATAAATGTTATCTATATATATATAAATAAAATTGGAGAGTCTGTTTGTAATATTAAAACAACCGTTTTGTTCTACATGCATATGAATACAAATACGGTACATACACTAAACTATGTAATATTATGTTATCTGTGACTAAACATTAAAATAACATTTATTACAATTTTTGTCTGTCTGTCTGTCTGTTTGTTCCAGCTAATCTCTGAAATAGATGGACCGATTTGACGGGACTTTTTTGGCAGGTATTTGATGTAATAAGGAGTAATTTAGGCTACTTCTATTTTTAAAAATTCTGTTATTTCAGACAAATAAAATTATATTCCATGCGGATGAAGTCGCGGGTACAGCTAGTTTAAATAATCTCTGTAGTGTTTACTAGGGAGTAAATAAGTAATTATACTGGGTTTTGTTTTATAATTATATTCATTACAAATTAAAACATATATATCGAAATTATTATTAAAATAATTATAAATCACTATGTTTTAATTACCTATTAGTTGTTATTTTCAAATAATTAAAATAATTGGATATTTTCGTCTCCATTTGTCGAAGTTACAACATGTATAAGTTGATCGTATAATTTAATCTACTTGAAAGATATTAGCTTATCGCTCTTTATTGGATAGATATTTATCGAATAGCGTGAGTAATTACGTTAATAAAATACTTATACTTACCTACATTTTTCTATGGACCTACATTATTTTACACTCCATGGACTACTTGTTAGTCGATAATATTTCCTGATATTCTATTTTGGGAGACAGTGATGTGAGACAAGGTCCGGAAACATATTTATGTCGTTCCTTTCCAGTTATTCGTATCTTGATGAGATTTATTCATAGTACAACATACCTATATGATCCGATTGTTTTTTTCTATTTGTGTCTATCATACGCGAGAAATACAGAATATTCGGTAGGAAAATTATACGCGTGGAATGCGTATATATAATATAAAATAAAAATAAGAATATTTTTTTACCACATTAATTATTTCAATGTTAATGCAATTAGGTACTATGGGATTAACCGTACTAATTGCAAAACTAATCATCAAAATGGATTCACAGTTGTTGAAAAAGTTGTATGATATTATAATGAATGATATTAAAATGATATTATACCTAATTCTGTACGAAAAGAAGTCGAATTGAAATCTTTTACTGTCTTTTTTTGGCTATTTTTAATCTTGAACTTGATAATAGGCAATGAAAAGATAAAATATCGAAATCTGATATCTAATTTCTTATTCCTTCATGGGGATTCAGAATTCGAAAATCTTCTAGTGTAATTAAGAAAGAATTGGCGAGCGAAAGAAATCCATATAATGGATATTTATCTAGATAAACAATAGATATCTCTATATATAAATATCTACAGATACTAGAGTACATAGAGTATATAATGTTTTAAATTATATTTTCAAAAGGATGCCAATAGCTTTTCCCGCTAAGCTTCTTCAAAGATAAAGACATTTTCCGCCCTTAACTTCGGAGCCCTCAAGTTAGCGTGATAAACCTTATCCTCAATTTAGGGTTATCCCGGTCACGGCCACAAAAGAATTCCTAAGAATTAGAATTTATCTACCTACCTACATCTTTTACCTTCGTGATATTGATTGGCTTTTATAGGATTCCGTAGTTATGCACCAGAAACCCTTATGTGTCAATGAAATATATGAATGAGATTGTATATTATTTAAATTTACTCTAATATGATAGGTATCCTATCTATTCAAGTAGGAAATACCGCGGTAAACGACCACTCCATCATTCTAAGATTTTTCGATCATTATACGTGCATGTTTCATATACATGAAAATTGAATTATACGATAAGTAGGATTAAATATAGTTTCAATTATATAATGTCGATAATTCAACTGTAACACCTTTAAGACTTTAAAGTAAATAAAGAATTTATAGATAAACAAAACAAGTAGTTATATGTTACGAACAATACCAACGTTACTTATGAAGGTCTGTACTTTTCTTACAAGTTATGAAAATTTCGTGGAGCACGGTAATGGCATGCGTACTTATTGTGACAAGGCGTCGTTTAACCGAAACATAAGGACGGTGTTGCGCAGGTTACGATGGCGATAAGGCACGAGACTTTCTATCGAGAGATTGCTTTTCACCAAGGAGTTGCGACCTCGTCCGAGCTTACTTATATTATGCCCTATCTCTCGATTCTTAAATCTATTTTTGAATATAGATATTTATTGCTTGTATTCGTTGTTGGTTTCTCTGCTGTGTGATTAGTTGTTGTGCTAAGTATTATGTAATAGGAATATAACTAATTTTAATGAAACACTAATGACATCCATACACTTTTAGATATACATATGTAGATCAGGCCAGGATAACAGTAAATTACTGTCTTGGTATTCATTTACAAAATAACCTATAACATATTTACAGTCTATAGGAATTTGAAATGTATTTTTAGATGACTGGAATGACGAATAACCTGATGTCCCAACACTAATTGGCAAAAGTCGCCTATATGTCTACAGGAACCAACCATGGACGTCACATAATTATCTGAAGTTCATATATATTTTTCTGAATGACTACAATTATATGCCTGCGTACCACATTGTTTCATTGCCATGGATCGAAACATAACTTACAAAAAAACTGTTTACTGCCAGAAATAGGTAAGACAGAGATACCCAAGCAGACGATATTGTATAAAATCTAGTTATTTAAAACTGAGAGTTCCTGCTCTTGTTTATATGTTTCACGCTACCAGTGGATGACAAACCGTGTAGAGAATGGAAAGAAGTAGTGACAAATTTTATTATATATACATACATGCACTTGTAAACGTGAAGTGAAATGTGTACCACACATTTACCAAACTTGTATATTTTTATACATAGTGGAGGATATGAAGGAGGAGCAGGAGAGGAGGAATGGAAGAGAAAAACATATTACGCCGACACCAAATAAATGGATTATGGAAGAAGCAGATGATAATAGTGTGCTTTGGTGTAATTCTGAATTTAATCTCTAAACTTAGTTTTACTTCTTAACGTATCAATAATATATTGTATCATATATTTTATTGTTTTTATATATATTTTAAAATACGAGTGTATTTAATATATTATAAAATACACTTGCATACAAATAAAATAGTCACATAAGTTTGCCAAAATTAGTAACTGACCTGATTAACTGTGACAACAAAATTGTTAGTGTGTACTAACATTTGTCAAATTATTTCTAAAAATATTCCGTGAATATATTTATAACTTGCTAAATATAGCTCTACGAATTCTTAGATCGTAACAGCACGCTACGTCGTAGCGGGGAGACGTACAACGAGCCGCGCCGTGCCGTATCGAGCTACGTGCCGCGTTATTTCTGTGAATCGGCAAATTGTTTGACGCTGGACTCTATTTCTTTGTATTCACAAGGTCCTAATAATTATATGTAGACTAATCATACCAAGCTAAAGTTTAAGTACATATTATAGTATTGATAAATAATGTATTAGGTACCTAATTTATTTTTAAAATGTTCTGTATTATTAATAATTATAACACATACCGACTGTGTGTGATTAAGCCACAATACTAAAAACAGATATTCAATAACATTATAATTCTTTAATAAAGCTAAATAGATGACAAAATTTTAAAATGTAAATGTGTGTAACATTTAATTACAAAATACCGTAAGTAAAGAATAGTTGAAGTTTCGTTTTCGAAACGCACTTGTATTCTATAAAATTGAATTCAAAGCCGTTTTAGTACATAGGATCTATTTTTGTCGGTTTCACGCTTTCGTTGATATTTGCATTTTCTCCCAGGGTAGATAAAATGTTTATGTCGGTTATTTTACGAGTGTTTTATGTAAAGTGGAGCGTTGTGATCGCGTGTTAATCGCTAGGTGGCTTTGTGGCACGGTTCGTGCCGTGTGATGGCGTGGCGATGTCTTGTGGCACGTAACATAACAAATGCACCACGCCACCCTGCAACATTTCGCACTAATTCATAGCTTACGTCACTAAATCTACTATCACATTTCCGGTAGCGTGTAAATATGCAAGGGGCGCAATCTATGCAAATTTAGTTGAATGAACCTCTTTAGCAGCGTGCACTATTTAAAGTAATACTGTAGTAACATTGTACCTATTTATACGTATACATCACGTTTTTCTTTCCCAGTAATAGTCGCAAAAATCCTTGTGCAATCGAATAACAACTGTATGTTATTATTAGATATTGCAACATATTGACCGCTTTCTTTTAGATTTACTAAAAGTTCAGTTACTCTTCAGATATCTTATTGAAAATAAAAGTAGAGATTTCCAGTATTATCCTACATATATTTTTTAACAAGTATAATTATTC